AAAAAAAGTCATAGTATAGTATGTCTTCAAAATTTCAGAAAAAGAAATAGTATAGTATGTCTTCAAAATTTCAGAAAAAATGTCCTAGTGTTGTATGTCTTAAACATTTCATGAAAAAAGTCATAGTATAATATGTCTTCAAAATTTCATAAAAAATGTCACAGTATAGTATGTCTTCAAAATTTCATAAAAAAAAGTCCCAGTATAGTATGCCTTCAAAATTTCATAAAAAAATGTCATAGTACAGTACGTCTTCAAAATTTCATAAAAAAGTCATAATATAGTATGTCTTGAAATTTCATAAAAAATGTCATAGTATAGTGTCTTCAAAATTTGATAAAAAAATGTCATAATATAGCATGAATTCAAAATTTCATAAAAAATGTCAGTGTAGTATGTCTTCAAAATTTCATGAAAAAAGTCATAGTATAGTATGTCTTCAAAATTTCATTAAGAAATTCATAGTATAGTATGTCTTCAAAAATTCATAAAAAAAGTCATAGTATAGTATGTCTTCACAATTTCATTAACACAGTCATAGTATAGTATATCTTCAAAATTTCATAAAAAAGTCATAGTATAGTATGTCTTCAAAATTTCATTAACAAAGTCATAGTATAGTATGTCTTCAAAATTTCATAAAAAAAAGTCATAGTATAGTATGTCTTCAAAATTTCATTAACAAAGTCATAGTATAGTTTGTCTTCAAAATTTCATAAAAAATGTCATAGTATAGTATGTCTTCAAAATTTCATAAAAACTGTCATAGTATAGTATGTCTTCAAAATTTCATTAACAAAGTCATAGTATAGGATGTGTTCAGAATGTCATAAAAAATGTCATAGTATAGTATGTCTTCAAAATTTCATAAAAAAGTCATAGTACAGTATGTCTTCAAAATTTCAGAAAAAAGTCATAGTATAGTATGTCTTCAAAATTTCATAAAAAAAAATTCATAGTATAGTATGTCTTGAAAATTTCATAAAAAATGTCCTAGTATAGTATGTCTTGAAATTTTCATAAAAAATGTCATAGTATAGTATGTCTTGAAAATTCCGTAAAAAATGTCACAGTATAGTATGTCTTGAAAATTTCATAAAAAATGTCCTAGTATAGTATGTCTTCAAAATTTCATAAAAAATGTCATAGTATAGTATGTTTTCAAAATTTCATAAAAAAAAGTCATAGTATAGTATGTCTTCAAAATTTCATAAAAAAAAGTCATAGTATAGTATGTCTTCAAAATTTTATTAACAACGTCATAGTATAGTAAGTGTTCAGAATGTCATAAAAAATGTCATAGTATAGTATGTCTTCAAAGTTTCACAAAAAAGTCATAGTACAGTATGTTTTCAAAATTTCAGAAAAAAGTCATAGTATAGTATATTTTCAAAATTTCATAAAAAAAGTCATGGTATAGTATGTCTTCAAAAATTCATAAAAACGTTATTGTATAATTTTTCTTCAAAATTTCATCAAAAATTCATAGTATAGTATGTCTTCAAAATTTCATAAAAAAAGTCATAATATAGTATGTCTTCAAAATTTCATAAAAAAAGTCATCGTATAGTATGTTTTCCAAAATTTCATAAAAAAGTCATAGTATAGTATGTCTTCAAAATTTCATAAAAAAAGTCATAATATAGTATGTCTTCAAAATTTCATAAAAAAAAGTCATCGTATAGTATGTTTTCCAAACTTTCATCAAAAAGTCATAGTATAGTATGTCTTCAAAATTTCATAAAAAAAAGTCATAATATAGTATGTCTTCAAAATTTCATAAAAAAAGTCATCGTATAGTATTTTTTCCAAAATTTCATAAAAAAAGAAATAGTATAGTATGTCTTCAAAATTTCATAAAAAAAGTCATAATATAGTATGTTTTCAAAATTTCATAAAAAAAAGTCATAGTATCGTACGTCTTCAAAATTTCATTAAAAAAGTCATAGCAGAATATGTCTTCAAAATTTCATAAAAAATGTCATAATATAGTATGTTTTCAAAATTTCATAAAAAAAGTCATAGCATAATATGTCTTCAAAATTTCATAAAAAATGTCATAGTATAGTATGTCTTCAAAATTTCATAAAAAAGTCATAGCATAATATGTCTTCAAAATTTCATAAAAAATGTCATAGTATAGTATGTCTTCAAAATTTCATAAAAAAAAAGTCATAGTATAGTATGTCTTCAAAATTTCATAAAAAAAAGTCATAGTATAGTATGTCTGCCCTGTCTGGGAAAGGAGGCTTGTCATGTGCACCCAGCACCTCAATGACTGATATATGTAAAACAGACACAGGTTCAGATTTATGGGCCTTAATTGTCACTAAATTGATTGATCAAATTTTAAAACTTTTAAGACCCAATGGACACCCTGTGCAATCCCCCATACTTTGTTTTTATTACATATCTTTATTCAGGGGTAAAGGATGGATATAGAGGCAAGATCATGGAGTCAAATGAAAGTCAGACAGGAAGTGGTTTTATTCCAGCACTGTCCAATCATGTTACTGCAGGTGAGCTTACTGTAAATCATTCCCTGCTTTCATTCTGCAGGAATATTATATAATATTATGAACATTTGCATCATCCAGATTTCTCCTTATCATCATCATCATTATAATCAACATCCTATGACACTAACATCATCATCAAGCATCCTCATCATCACCAACAGATAAATTGACATTCAGAAATGTAGAAATTCACCTTTGTAGTTCTCATATCATTGCTGCTGTGTTAATAAAATATAATCTTAGCCTTTTTTCTACAAAGTTTTACACACCATGGTATCACCTGAAAAAGCCCTTCTGTACATCTGCTCCTGCCTCAACTTCACCCTGCACCTGTACAGTACAATCTCTTCAAACGTCAGGCGAGACTGGCCAGCTCCAGCTTCAGACAGCAGGGGGCAATCTAACTCTGCAGACCTGTGATCACACGCTTCATACTCACCTGCGTCTGAACTACCTCTACCCTG